TTGAAAATGAATCCAAAGCTCTGCTGGGAAGAACAGTTTACGCAGAAGTCAAGATCTGGAAGGACAGCTCTGTACTCCCTTGCTAGGAACGATCACATCAAGCTTCACATGCTAGTTTCCTGGCCATGCTCCCTACTCGGTGTCCTGCCCTGCATGTGCTGACAAGAATCCCAGCTCACAAGCAGGTCCCCGGAGAGGAAAAGACCCAGTGGCATGGTGCATTCCAGCTGTGACAGGTGAAGAGGGAAGAATAAGTTTGACACTCCAGCCACTGCAACAGAGGCCCAGTGGTCTAGGTTGCCTTGGCTTTTTTATTTGCCTGTCACTCAGGCTTTGACGTTATTGAAAGATCAAACTCCGTTGTGCCTGTTCATTACCTTAATCCTATTTTCTACACAGCTTTATTATCTCTTCAGGCTTCCTTGGGAAAGGCTGTCAGAGAGACTGGGGCAGGGGGGAGAGGGTTGCCTATCTCCTCACCCCTGTCAGATGCCTCTATTCAAGAACAGCTGGAAGACTTGATGGGCAGGGGTATCACAGCACAGTCTGGATCCCTCTAGGGTACTCCAAAGGCACCATTGGACTAGGTCGCCAGGAAACATGCACCATAGCTGAATGCACTGGCATTGTCTTTCCTGCTCTAGTTTGCCCTTTGTGAGATGCATCCTTTGCAGTCTTTATTTTTGTTGCTTCGGAGAAAACCAAACTGGTTTATATTTGCATTCGATGCAGCTGACTCGGACAATCTAAACTACAGGTTAGAAGGTAATTTGCCTCAGACCAGCTCTGCATCCACATCAATCTTCCTCTACCTCCTTTCCCCAAAAACAGCTCTGCTGACACCCCTCAGGCCCCTTCTGCCATTGCCCCCCTCTCTCCCCTCGCAGAGCCCACGAGCTCACCTCAATCCTGACGGCACTCCCTGGATAATCTGTGCTGTGCCACTCCTACCCAGAGCACACCAGTCCCGGAAAGTTGAGCTGCTGTTCAATAATCCAGCCAAATATTTGCTATCTGTCCATCACAACACAAAGACCCCCAGGCTGAGAGTTTCAAATTTGTCAGCAGTTGAGTCTCACATCAGGATTTGAGCCCAACATTTCCCCAATTGCTAAGGTCAGCACCTTCACCAAACAGGAACTACTCAATGGCCCCAAATCAGAGGCCACAGCAATTAACCTTCTCAATGCTTATTAAGACAGAGAGAAGACAACGTGCCTGAGTCACTTCCGTAGATAACCTGCCGCCACCTCTCACCTCCCTGAGCTACCAGAAACACCAGCCAGGGTGACATGACTGTAGAGCCTGTGTTTGCCTACGGCTTCTGAGCACCACAGACAAGTAGGTGAATGGGAGGATGCAGATCACCTTCCTCACCCCTCTGGCTCAAGCTGAAGCATCAACTGAGACAGATGAAAACAAAGGTGTACTAGGCACATTCTGACTGTACATGGGTAAGGGGGAAAAAACAGGATGGCTGTGCAATCAATTAGAAAAGCTGGGAAGAAAAGTCGAGCTGCTCCCTACTGAATCAGAACCACCCCACACACACCCCTTTCCACACCAGCTTGTTCCGTCTGCTACTCCATCCCACATCTCATGTTTAAATATCCCTTGCCTACATGGACTATGGGAATGATTTTACAGCATCTCCAATATTGCATTTCTCACTGTTATTCCCTCCCTATAACCTGGAAGCTCACTCACCTCTCAAGGTCCCAGATTCTCAGAGGTGAGGTGTGTCCACAGCAGGCTGTCCCCGTCACAAATGAACTGTATAAAAAAAACAAGCAAACAAAAAAAACCCACTTACTAATCCTCATGTTCTGAAGAAATAGGGCATGAGCAAGACAGAGAAAACAGGCTACAAGACAGACTTTGAATTCTAGTTGAAGACTATTTCAGTATGTTCCACCACGTTTCACAAGGGGCAGGCAGCAGCAAAGGGAGAGGTGCTCCAGAGCTCTCAGAAGCTGAGCTTCCCAGATGCAGCAGGTCACAACTGCAGAGAACTGGCAGGACACACAGATGTATTTTCATATGCAAAGGGAAAACTTAAAACAGGAGCAGCTGTAAATTGCAACAACATTTTCAAAACAGTTAGCACAGTACTTGGCACATTTCATACACAGCGGTGTAAGCTCCGGAAAGACCCCATGGAAAACTCAGCTACATCCTACTTCATGTCTCCCTTCTGTTTGCTGGCAACTTCTGAGCACAATCATGAATTGGCTGCAGCATCACAGGCCTAACGAATCACAGAATAGAGGCCTCCGGTCCAGCCTGCTTAAAGCAGGGCCAATTTCAAAGCTGGATCAGGTTGCCCTCCCCAGTGTTCAAGCACTCTCTCTATTAGAGGCAGCACAGCTCTCCTGCAGAAATATTTGGCTCAGTTCATCCTCTCCAGCAGGGTCCATTCCAAAGTCCTTTCTGGCAATGCTATGTCCCTGCTGCACATGCTGCCTCGGGAGGTCGCCTGACAGCCGCTCACCTCAAACTAGTAGATAAGACAGGAGCAAGTCCTTAAAATCAAGCAGCAGGAACATGGGTGTTGTGGCTCTCCGCACCACACTGCTTGTTTTGTGCCAACTTCCTATCCTCAGTCCAAATAAGAGAAAACAGCTCATACAAAGATTTCTAAGTAAGCTACAAATGACCTCTCACAAAGCCTCGTTTATTGCAGCTACCAAGAATAAAATGCCAAAACTATGTTTAAGTCATTGCATGAATGCAGGAAACGGAGCCTGCTTTAAATAAAAGCCAGCTCTATGTTTTGCCTAGACATCTTTCGCAGCGTGACATGGAGCTGGCAGCTGAAAGAGGAAAGCAAAATAAGGAAACAGTATCATGTCTGTAAAAATAGCCGTTTTAAATATTTCTTTGATCCTCTACAACATTCTTCCTTTGGAAGTCAGAAGGTGTCTCCAAGCCTCTACTGTACTAGGAAGGCATTCTTGCAGTATCCTTGACTTCTGTGAGAAGCACTACTGCTCTACTGGTGTTACAAGGCACCCAGCAGCAAAGTGGTAAACACACACTCAACTCAATCAAAGCCAGAGAAGAGCCATGTGGAAGCAGGCTGAGAACTCAGAACTCCTTCTACTTTTAGCTCTGTGGTTTAGCTGAGCAACTGGTTTCTCCAAAGCATAGGGACAAAGCGGTATTGCCAATACACTCTGCAAAAGACTCAACCAGATAACATGAAGCCATCTCAAAGAGCTACAGGAACCAAGGAAGAGCTACAGCTACCAAGGTGCTCTTTTTTGGAAGGCTTTATCCCTTCTACCCAAACTCACATACCTGGAGGTGTCCACAAGTCCTGTGACCCTTAGCTGCCCTTTAGGGCTAGACAAGGCCTGCAGCACCAGAGCTATTTCAAAGCCTCTCCAATTAGGCCATCTTACATGCAAAATCTGAGGTTCACTGGCAGTGCGCATGCAATTGACCCAATGCACCTGTAGCACAGGGCTCTTTGCACAGATGCCACAGGTTGAACACATTATTCTTCTCCATGGAAGTCCCGGACCAAAGTGTGAGAGTCTAAGGAAAACCCAGTTCCTGTTGCTGTGCAGCAGCCACAAGGACCAATTAAGAAAGCATGCAGCATTTCATATTTGGAAACACAGTTTCTGCTCAATACCTGCTTTCTCTCCACCATAGTGCAGGACAAGAGGGAACATTTCCCTTTTGCCAATGTCTCCCATCTCAGAGGAAAACAAGCAAAAGACACCCATTCCGATAGCTCACCGTTCAAACCTCATGTCTGGAAAGTAGCACTTTGGTCAGGGAGTCCCTCAGCTACAAAGCTAGGTATTGGGTTCTGTCCCTCCCTCCCCAAACATAATCCATTAATAACTACTAAAGCCAATTACCGTGGTTAGAAACATAATAGCAGTCAGGGAGTCAGTCAAGCAGGCAATTGGGTGCTTAAGATTTTTCTTTTGGGGGACGAACTGACTCTGTCCCAGCAGAGAACACCCTCATGTGGGAGACAGGCCCCTTTGTGCAGAAGGTATGCACAAGACTTTGATGGTTGCCACAGGTCTAAATTAGCATGGAGGCACACCAACAGGGAGAAAAAGGTGGGAGGAACAGAAAGGTCTAATCCCTGCTCATGCTGTCAGTTCTGGACTTCAGCTTTTCCTCCTCAGTCCTTACCACCCACTCCTCCAAAAAAAAAAAAAAAAAAAGAAGAAAAAAAAAAAAAAAAAATAGTATTAGATGAAAAGATTTCTCTCCAGCATCGCATACAGGCCTCAGGGCCATAAACAAGTCTCTTCTGGGTAAAGCTGACTCCATTCAGTCAACAAGAATTTTTTTCTCATACTTCAGCAGATCAGGTTTGCAGGCCTTATCTTTAACAGGCTGGAGCCCATTAGCAAGCAAAGATAAGACTTCTCCCAGAAAAGTGGGGCACCTTCACTGCCAGGATTAGAACGCAGCATTCACAAGACATGCACAAGAAGTGGTGCTAGTGATAAACTGTCAAAGCCTGGGAGCGAACTGACCTGGAAGTCTGGATTCCCAGGAGACGACACAGGGCTTCTCACCTCAAGTCTGGTCTGCAGGCATACATCTTCAACCCGCAGGCCTCTCATAACTGGGAACCTCACAGAGGTGACAGTTTCACTCCAAGCAACAGGGCAACGTACGTCAGCTGTGGTAGGTCTAAAACAACATGCAAATTGGAGCAAAGCACATAAAGCTTGGCTCCAAAACCTCTGAAACTGTTCAGCAGAACTGAGGCCTTCAACCGGGCTTGCTTGTCTTCTTCTTGCTTTTGTCTTAGGCAGCACAGAGTGCACACCAAAAACGACCTAGAGAAGTGCAATCTCTTCACAGTTGTTCCTGCCAGCTGCCCAAGAGGAACAACTCAAGCTGTTACCAGCTTAGTGAGTGTAATTTATTTTGCCTACAATGCCTTCAGGAGTCAGAGAGACTGAGGAGACACTAGCTTGGGAATAGCAGAGCACAAGATACTCTATTTACATCACTGCAGAGACGAACCACCTCTCTGAAGTATATATGATACTACTGATGTGCACAGACACTGACCAGATGCATCTACATGCTGCATAAAAATCGCTATGTCCAAGCTTCAGATGGCCTTGGAGATGCAAAGTCCCTTCCCCACTAAGCTTCCCTCTGCCCTGTGAAAGCTGCTGGGTACCAAGAACACAAGCTCCCACCAAAAGGCTCTCTAATGGGAAAATGAGCACCATTGCAGGGCTTCCATAACAGGGCATGTTGTCTTCACAGAGATTCCTCAGAAGGTAAAACAAGCAAGCCAACATAGTATTTCCACCTCTGCTGCACCAGGAAGGTGAGGATTTTGCAGACCATTGAGACATACACTTCATACACGGCATGTTTTTGTTGGCCGAAGCAAGCCATTTTCCAACTCATCTGATACTTTGATGTCCCCCTTCCCATTTTAAACTCCCTACTGAGAAGGAGAAGAGGGGGGGAAAAAAAAAAGGAAAAAACCCACAAACAACAAAAAAACACCTGCTTCCACTGAAGCCAGACCCTCTCTATGTTACAGAAGAGACATTTCATTAGAGGTCATTGTCATTCCCCCACTATAGAAGCTGGGCCAGGGGATGAGAGAGAACAAACACCCTGGCAGTGCTGTTGGAAGAAACACAAGAACTTCTCTCCACCTGACCAACTTGTGGTTGTTGATGATCCCATGGCATTTCTGCCAACAGCAGTAGTTCTCTGGCTACAGTCCAGCTGCAGGGATCCCATGCTGGCTCCCAAGGTGCCACCTACACAGTTTCACCCCACCTGTAGCATCTCTCTTTACCCCATCCTGGACAGAGCATTAATAGATGTGGATGAACCAGAGGCAAAAAGGGAGCTGCCCATCAGTCCTTTTGGAAAGATGCTGCTTGTCATAAGGCTTGGAAACAGTTTCAGCTCGAGAGACAAATCCCATTGTACAATACATACCTTCCTCATTGTCAACCCAGCCTGAGCTGGGAATCCTGCAATGCAAAGCCACTGAAGGAATCTGGGTGAAACAGGCCCTTTCCAACCTCTTCTCTCTAAATTTCCCCCATGCCCCAGGCTTGTGCCCTTCCCCTGTACTGTAAACAGATAGCTTCTCAAGTCCTATTCTGCTCTTTGGGGATTTCAAATCCAGAATCTGCTTGACGTGTGCAAGAGCCTGTTCCTTCCTCCTCACACGCTCCCCCCGCCCCCTGGAATTGGACATCGTTGTTTCATTTTGGAGACTATTATATACAGAGACTCATCGGACCAGGAAACAAAGAAGTTATTACTTGACAGAGCCCTGCAGCTGGGAATGTGGAAGGCAGGGGGAGAGGAGGGGGAGCACTGAGGGAGACAGCACAGGGGGGCTGGTAGCAGCGTTATGAAAGCTATCAACAGAAGATGGGAAACATCTTTTTTAAGAAGTCTCAAGTGGGATGAGAAAAGACGAAGAGAAAGCAAGTCCAAAATGGAGAGCAGAGAAGAGAGAAAGCAGTTGGTGTCGACAGTGCCACGGGTTAAACACACGGGTCTGTGGGTTTGTGTAGCCTTTGATTCAGCACTGACACGCTTTGGCAAGGGAGGCCACCAGAGCTGTCAAATCCTTCACCAACGTGCCCATCAATTGCATTCAGCTCTCCCCGACCCGCACTGGCATTTTAATTACTGTTGGGTAAACTAATTTGTACAAATGAAGGCAACTCTGCCTAATAGAATATGCAAGCTCTCTGACCTCTGACAGGCGATGACACAAGATACAAAGGAGGCAGAGGAAGGCTTTTTATCAGAGCCTTATTACTCTCTATTACTCCAATTAGTTAAGCTCCAG